TCCTCTTCCACACTGAATTGAGTCAGAAACTGATACCTTAACTCCTTTGAAGAAACATACCTAAAAGCCAACTTATCTGTAACATTTCATGCTTGGTTTCTAAATAAGTTTCCATAATCTCCTCTTTAGCTACATGCATTCTTTTCAGACAGGGATCAACACTAAATTTCAAAGGGGAGATTCACTACTACACAGTAAAAAGTGCACCATGTAATATTAAATCTCTTCAGCATAATGACTTCTCAGCCACCACTTCTGAGATTTCTCAGAATCAGCAGTTTATTTACTGCTTAACACACTTTTTTCCTACCAGCAATTTCACTTGAACTAGATTTTAAGTCCCTTTAAGCATAGTCTGCTAAGCTTTAGGCTGGAAAATTCTGAGTGTTAGATAATTTTTTTTTATCTGAGCTATGATGTCTAAATGTTTTAAGTGAGAAATGACAGCTCAAACCCTCAGCTTTTCTACATGTATAAGATGTAGGAAACATGTCTCATGAGACATGAGTAATTACAGCATCCTGCTGACTCCAAAGCATATAATGAAAGAATTTCTTCCTAAACAAAAATAACCTATGTTATTCTGCTCTGCTTAGCTCAGCCTCTTTATTAAAATCCATTAATTAATCCACTGAAATACACAACTTCCAGAAATGCTGCTGTTTAGTGTTTCTACCTAAGAAGAATACCATGCTCAAGCTTAAGCTTAAAATTACCAACTCCACTACTTCATGCTAGACTAGCTAATATTTACTGCAAGAGCCCATTAACTCTCAGAGCAACCCAAGGAAATGCTACCACAGGCACTCAGATATGCAATACATAAAAATCAAGGCTATTCTTGTATGGTACCAGAGAAACATCTCTACATTTAAGTGACAACAAAAAAAAGTACATTTCTCATGGTTTTCCCTATGTACATTTACATAATTTTTAAAAGCACCAGTGTAATATATTTAATTTATGCAAGGCAATGGTGCTGACAGACACTTCTGTACCTATTAACTATTCATAAAACACTCAGTAGCACTGGAAAGATCCTTTTTGAAGCAACAGTAAACACTTGGCAAAGCTTTTATCATATGAAATATAAAAATGTCAATCTTCATGTTTACAGATACCACTACTCATTAGGCAGACATCAAGATTTCATGATGAAAGCAGCAGCCACCCCAAGTCATAGAACACAGATTTTTTTTTTTTCCTTCTTCCATAATCCTGATAGAAACATGCACATGGATCCCACCTTTCAGAAAAACTAAAATGGACTAAAATTTACTGGTTGCCTTACAACCCAAATTGTGCTCAAATTACAACTGAAATAACTGGAAATGACCAAATCAAGTTATTTATTAATGGTTTAAAGTGTTTGTTAACAGAAGCCATGTATTGTGGTTTAACTGAACAGGTTTCTTCCAAAAGCTAACAGTTTCTCCAAGTTTACACCATACCAGCAATCAGTTTCTCCTGACTTTTATTCACTCCAAACCCCTTGTAAAGTATTTTTTTTAATGTATCCAAGTTTTCCATGAACTGGAGGTAGGTTTAGAGATATAATCCTCAGAAGCCAAGTTTAATGATGAAAGAAAATTGTCATTTCTAAACAATACCAGGGATTTTAATTTGCTGTCACAGATAAGAAGCATTAAATACCAGATGTTGAAGAAGACAAAGGCTCATCCTGCTCCTATGGAGTCTGTAATACGTGGTTGAAATGTGGCAGGGGAAGCAAACAGTAATGTTAATGCACAGATCTTACTCAGGAGTAACATCAAACCACTCAGTTTCTCAAAAACCTTGGACTGATGAACAAGCAAACCTGGAGTGCTGAAGGATCTCATAGCTTCTTCTCTAGTGAAGCTTTTTAACACTGGCTGGAAAAACAGCTGATTGAAGGGATCTCTAAAGAAAGGTTAATTCAGATTTCTGGGGATCAAAAGTTGTGGAAGTTCCAACTAACATAATTTTATCTGGAGCCACTTCTCACATTTGGTGTATTTTTCTATCATCTGCATGCTGAACAAGTTAGCTGCTTCATTTTGAATTCTTAAACTGCAGATAGCAAGACATCAAAAAGCAAGTTATACTTTAAAAAGTGTAATATATATTTCACTTGTTCTTGTTGCTAAGCTACTAAAGCCCAGTTATGACTACAAGGGGCTGTTAGAGATTTGTAGCTGCATTACTGACAAGGCAATGTAACATCAATTTAAGCATAGCAATAAAGACAAGATTAAAGTCACAAATCAGAACTTATTTCAGCAGCAGTACAGCAACTCAGGCACTTCCAGACCTTTCCAATTCACAGTCCATGATCCAAGCAGCTTTCACTGCTGCCTTCAGTTCTTTTGTTAAGAATCCAAAACTTCAGGACATTTAAGCATTGTTGAATTGGAAAGGGATTATCCATAGGACTATCTCCTGCAGCTGCTGAAAACTTGTGGCTTACAGAACAAGTAGGACAGGTCACTCATCTGCCAGATGATAACTACACCTCTGATCCAGGGTACATAAACAGCTGGGAAAGTCAAATATCTGCAAGCAGAAAGTGTAACACCAAACTAACGTGCCTGAGGTTTTAATGATGGTATACAATAAGAATCTCAGATGATTTCCTTGACCAAAGCTTTCTCAGATACAGAACCCAAGCATACACTGTAAAGCTGGTCAATATTCAACACACATCTATAAGGAAAAGTCTTTTTTGCCTATCCAAAAGGCTTCTGGTTCTTCAATTTAACAGAAGCAAATCCAGTTGCTTGAGTCATCACACTTCCCCAAGAGCCACTGCTCAAAAGTAGTTTCTCCAGCCAATTCCACTTCACAGCAAGCAAATGAATGTTGCTTTTACCAAAACAAGAAGCAAAGCGAATATTACAGCAGCCCAGCAGCTATAAACCCCCTCCAGTGAGGAATAAATATAGCTCATGTTGAGGCAGACAGATGTTGAGGTTGATAAAGGTAAACAGAACCATGTAAGAGGTAATTATCAAACAGGCTAGATAAGCCACCCGTGAATAACTTAACCCTTCAGTGAATCCAACATCGTTTATGTCCCTACTGAGGGAACATGAGCCAAAGCACAAACAAAATCTCAGTTAGTTCCCAAAGTGCTAACATTTGTAACCAGCTACCTCCATTTCTTATCTATACAGCAGATCTATCTATCCCTGCATCCCCAGTCTCTTACATAATTTTGTTGATTTGCCAGCTTTTCTATAAGTGAGAGCTCTTTGCTTCCCTTCCCCCAAATCCCAATGTTATTTTGATCGCTGGGGTTAGGGAAGGAAGGGAAAAGATATTTCTCAATTATCTGGAGGAAACAGATCTGCTAGAAGAGCTCACAAAAGAAACAAACTAATAGACTGGTCAGTAATAAAGAGGATGGTTTATTTAGTCTGTCTGACCTTACTCTAATGGCAAGGTAAAGGCAGTTTAGCCAGCTATACATTTTAAACAGCCAAGTGCCAGCACAAACAAGTGAACAAAGAAGTACAGGTCACTTACAAAACCAGGGGTCTTCTCCATGCACAGCAGGATGCAAGTTTTTGCATTCATGGTGGACACTAACTGAACCAAAGCTACTAGTAAAAATTAAGTCTCTAAATCTCAACTAGCCCAAAAGAAAAAAACCTCAAAACAAATTCTGGACATGATAAATTTTCCTTGATGAAGTTGCATGTGTTTCATTCAGCAAGTCAGGTTGATCAGAAAGCTGTTATCTGGGGAACACTTAGAAAATTTTTGAACTATGCCACTGATAAGATGCAAAACAGGCATTTGATAAGCCCCCAAAAGGAAAATTTTAATTAAAACTTGGGAGGCATAACCCACCAGCATTTCTCATGACACTAATTGCACTGATTGTTGACCCCTCTGTTGACTCAAACCAACTAGTCATTTCAGATGAAAACACATTTTTAACTGCAGGAGAACTGCATGAGAGAGTTTATACATTGCATGCTCACAAGTTCAACCTCTCATGCCCCAATTTTGTCATATCAGATATAAAAATACAGATGTTTCATTTGAGATGCTAACCTTGACATTTTTAGACAACATTGTAAATAGTATTTCGTGAACATTATTGTAGAGAGTTGGTTGAGTGCTTCTGTTTGGCCACAGCACAGCTGGGCATGCTGTAAGGCACAACTGCATGTATGAGCCAAAGCAAACATTATCAAACATATTATATATACATAAAATAGATATACAGTGCACACACATCCTTGATTTATTCCCTCATGGAAGCATGCTCAGTCTGGTACTTCCATTCAGCATAATGTAATATTTTCTGGTATCTGATAAAGAAAAGATTTTCTGGATTTGATTAAGGTACTATCAGTTACTGTTAATACTGCAAGCAGTTTATTGGAAACCTAATTACAGTAATCACCATTAAATTTAATAGTCTACACCTAATTCCCACTACCTCTTTCATCATTATCCAAAGCTTTTGGTATCATGGTTTATTCATATGCATTTATGTATTACAACATACAGATTAATCACAAAAAACCAAGACTCACTAGTGGTTTGAAATGAATGCAACACTTCACTAGTAGTTCAAAAAGCCAATTTATCTACCTGCTTATTGGAAAGTACTGTAATCTGATACATTTCTACATAAATGGAAAAAGCTTCATTGCAACTCTTTATAGTGTGATGCTGTTTCTGATTTCTAGGACTCAATTTTTAATAAACAATTTTAGGAGCTTTTGAGGTTCTTAGATTTAGATGGGAATTGAAAACGAATCGGTAAAGTTTTAACAGATGGAAGCAATATTAGAAAGTAGATGAATGCAGGCAGAAATCCTCCGCATTTAAACATAATTACATACCTGAATAATTACAAACCTGAATGTGGTACAGCAAAGAACAGAAACACGAAATCCATTTTACCTTGTGTATTTTTAGTTGGCAAACCTTCCTCTTCCTCTGACTTCACTCAATGCAACACATATATAAAGTTTCAATTAACAGAAATGTGAATTACTTACCAATTTGTAACAACACAGGTGTTACCAAAGCTGTCTCCATGGCATAACAAAATTCCCTGCCAAACATTACTGCACCATGCATCACCCACAGGCGTATTGGTATCCGATCTATGGAACCTTCACTAATGGTTTCCTCCCTACTTTCATTCTCCTTGTTTTCTGGTTTCTGAAGCTGTGCCACAGGTAGATCTTGAACTTGCATAGATTCCGAGTCAGCATTCTGGGGAGCCATTTTCATTACCATAAAAATATATATATATATTTCTTATATCTCTATAAATAATGCTACCATAACTCCACAAACAAGTTAGGGTGTCTTCTCTTTCAGCTTGTGTTCCTCAGGCAAGTAATGCTTTTATATTCCTCTTATACAAACAGGTATCTTGCAACTTCTTGTACAGATATGAGACATCAAGAACGAAAAGCTATTTGGCAGGAATTTCAACATATGGCTTGCAGGTTTACTGTGAGTTAGAGTTAAAAATCCATAATTGCCATTCAGTTAATACCAGTTTCATAATTATTATTGAAGAAGTGCTGAAGTTGTTATTCTTGCTACACAGAGGTGGAAAGGCGACACAAAGAGGTGCTCCACTGTTAATCCCCATCGAGTGGCTGATTAATCTGCAACAAAAAGCAAGCATTTAAAAATTTCAATACCATTTTTCAGGATATTGTGCCCCCACCCTCCCTTTAACCATATACCCTATTTCCTGCTTAATGCTTTCCATTGTCCTTGCCTAGTGTAGGGTCTTTTATTCCACATTCCCTCCTTCCCCTGTACTTGCCATTGAAATGCAGCTCCTACTTGTATTTAAATGGTGCTTTACTGCACTCATAAGTTCCTCCACTTTGTGCTCCTACACAAAGCCACAGATGAATGTATCAGTGTATATTTTTAAGATCCTCAGAACATTGAGCACAAGACTAACAAATTCTGGGAAATTAAATTAAGGTTCCATTTCAAAAACAGTGTAGGATACTCCAGAACTATGCCAGGAAGATGATTCATCAATTACCATTTACTCCCTAGCCACGCAGACATCTCCATTTAGACTTTTGGAACTGCCATTTACTTTGCAGTAACCATCACACCTACTTATCACAGATATTCCTCAAGCAAACATGAGCAAAATTAAGCCATTAGGAATTCAACTGTGAGGATTGAACTTTAAAGAAGAGAACTTTTAATGAAGATATGATACCCAGCATGTGGATCCATCTTCACTTTCTGCACACAAGACCAGAGCACCTTACTCCCACATTCCATGAGGCTTCTGATGTCCATGAAAATAGAATGGTACAGTACTTCCCACTATACATTAAAACTATTTAAATATACTCCAACCAAGTAAGACAAGTTTCTATTTCCTTGTCCTTTGTCAAAGTCTAAGCAGAAGTACAAACTATGCCATACCAATCAAAATGTGTTTAAGCACTGAGAGGAGAAAAAAAACATTTTATAAAAAGAAAGGTTACATAATGTTTGCTTTAGAAGGATGCATATTCCCATCTTTGCACACAGTGTGACTGAATTTGTATCCCAAGACAAAGCTCCTTGGGGGTATGGTTCCACAAGATGCTGCCTTTGGCAGCAAAGCTGCCCTAAGAAGTGGCCAGGCTGCAGTTCACTGCCCCTTCAGTTGTGACAACAACAACTCTTTGTGGGCAAGAGCATAACCAGAACATTAAGCGGTGAACCTAAAAATGAGCCTTAAGAAAAAGATGACATGTCTGGGGTTTAAAGCACATCACAACAGCAACTCTACTTCAGCATGACCTAACACACTGTTCTACCAAAAGTGCATCACAGGAGCATCCTTCCAAGCACTCCCTCAGCTGTTACCCTCAGTGGGTTTGTTGTGTGTATTTTATTCTTCCATTCCAATGCATATTTTTTGGTCTAGGCTTTTTCTCCTCCCAAACTCCCCAAGATCACTGGAGTTCTCAGATTTAATCACCTCAGTAACACTATAATTTACATCATGCAAGAGAAGTGAAAATAACTTAGTGAACATAAGTGGAGCAGAGTTTTAAGTTCCAAGTTTTAATCTACAATCATTGCATTGCTCAGAACAGAAAGGACTCCAGAAAGCATTTCTCCAGCCACTCAGAAATACCAAGGGGAATTGAGATGCAGTGCCTAGGGTTACTGTGGCATGGGCAGGTCCTTACTCATGTTCTTCATAAGCACCTTGTTTTTATAAAGGTTTTCTTTTCCACTGGTCAGGGTGTGGATTTGCTAAGCTCCTGCATGCAGTAAGAGTTCAATTACCTCCTTCCAGTAGTTAATAGTGTGGAATTCACATCAGGAGGGGAAGGGAGGGAATGCTCTTTCCTTGCCATAGTGTCTGAGGTTTCAACTCACTCCTTGAAGGAGTTAGCTTAACATAAATATGAAACTAATGTATTAGAAAAACACAAATCCACTGCTCCTAACACAAGTTCTGGATGGGGAAAACCTACAAAATACAGGTTACAGAGTAGGAGCAATTATTTTAATTAGAGACTAGTAATAAAATGTTTAATTGCTGGCAGACACAGGCAAAATTGCACTCAGTAGAATTTAAAAGTTGATGTATCAGGTTTTACTATTCAGAAATCACTCAGAACATGTTGGCTTTGAGACAAAGGATCATGGATAACACTCCTGTACAAGATGGCTTTAAAGCCTCTAGCGTTTTCTTTCGCTTAACTTTTACTCCTGTCACTACCTAAGAAGGATTTAACTTAATTTCCCTAAACACCTAATTTAATATGCAGTTACATGGTAGCATAATGATGCACAGGGAGGAAGGCAGTTCATCACACCAGAATGTTTTATGATGCACCAGGGCAGACTGCATACACAGGCAGGATGACATCAGGGTGGAAGCACTTGTCACTGCAAAGGATGAAGAGGCAGGCCAGAAAAAAAGATATGAGATTCAGCCCATTTGAGCAGGGCTCTTATGAGATGACTGAAAAAACTATTTCTGAAGTGGGAGATGATGGGGAGTGATCCAATAATTTAAGAGACAGGAATAACAGATGTTAAATGGAGGTAGACTTTGAAGTTGTAATAGAAACAGATAAGAACAACAGTGTATTTTAAACATGCCAGAAAAAGGAGTTGCAGTATTCAAGTGCAATAGCAAGAGGCACAATGGACAGGTTTTATCTAGAGGAACAGAGAATCACTGTTCCATTATGCCAATTTTGTGGTAAGCATAACACTGGTCTTCCTGCAGCACTTTTATCTGTCTCCAAGTGCACGTCTAACAGGAGAAGCAGAGAATAACAGCAGCCTTTTAGAAAGGTCTTCCAATTCTTTCTTCAGTCCTGTTAGGTTGTGATCGTACTCCTTTTAGATCAATCCAGATTCTGCTGCTGTTTCTTCCAAGTCCATTTTGAATTTGCCAAGTCTGAATACTGGCCTTCTTCCTTATCAAAAAGGGAGACAAATCCATTTGCCTGCTGGACATAAGGATTACCAAAGCTTTTATGCAGCAAAGAGCTCCAAAGTAACAGTCATCTAAAGAGGAGCTGGACTAAAATACCAAAAAAGATATGCTCCTGTGTCTGTATCTATAATTTTTTCATGCTTGTTAGCTAGTAAAACCAAACCTTAATTGATAATTTTTTTGAGTTGTTGTATTGAATACCCACGGTAATTCCATTACAGTCCCTCAGCTTCTGTGGTTCAAAAGCTTTATTGTAAGAGTTCACCTAAAAACCAATCCAGCATTATAATAATTTTTAAAATACTGATGAATTATGCTTGCATTTTACCTGTCATTCAAGCAGACTAGGTACTAAGAGAGCTGGCATTCCTTCCTCAAACACATGTCAAGAGGAATGGTGGCAAAAGGTTTCAGGACAGATTCCTTCTCATCTGTACCTTTCTGACCATCCAGCCACAGAGTAGCTGAACAAAATTTAAAAATGTAAACTGGCACACAAGACAGCATTTATCTCATAAAGCTAAGACCATGTCCTCCAATCTGCCATGTACTCTTGCTGTACTTCCCGTAAAGTTTCCAAAGGCGTTTTCATGACTAACAAAGAATAAGGAAGTTGAATGAAGAACTTCAGCCACAGAAAGTGCTTCATGTGGGGCACTGTAAAGAGGTTGGGTATGAAGTTTAGATACAGAAATTTTCCTGATCTGGCAAAGTCTGCATGCGGGGAGGGGACCGAGACTGATTACACCAGCTCTTCTTTAACCTAATTAAACACATTTTACTTTGACCTTTGGCCACCCTGCAACAATGACAAAACCTATACAGTGGTAGTTAATATTTCAACAAGAGGCAAGTAATGTATTCTGAAAGCTAATCTGTAAGCAACATTTTCTAAAAGCTGATTGAGTTGCTTTTAATCTTATCTGTTACATTGTTATTATCTAACATCTAGCCATAAATCATAACATGGCTACGTGAAGCACAAAACATCATCTCACAGGCTTGTTGAGGCCATATCATGATATTCCTGTGCCTCAAATAGGTGGCAGTCACAGACAAAGCCCATGAATTACTGAAGTGGAAAATTACTGTCTTTCTATTGGGTTTAAAAAAAATAAAGAGGAACAGATATAGGTGATATTTGTGACCCATAAAATGCCGTGGTTTTCTTTTCCCTAGCCAGCATCAAGATGCTGGAGGTGCACAAAAGCTCACGCTAGGCAATTAGGCAACACAACACCTCAGGCAAATGACTGTCACACTTCTCAGCATGTTTTGTAAGTTTAAGACAAGCAGTGGTTTTGCATTTGAAGTACCAACATCTGGAGGTCAGAAGATTGATAGTAGTAGACCCATTAATCCCAGAATAAGTGAGGTAAAAAGTGCTCCTGCCCAAATCTGAACAATTTTAATGCATGTTTTTCAGATATCTCTCACTAACAAGGAACAGGAATGCATTGATCAACAAGCAACCAGGTTTTCTGAACTAGTGCCAAAACATAGGATTTTAATTAAACTATGGAGTATGCAGCAAGTTTCAGGTAATCTCACACATAGTTTATTAAGTAGTAATAAAGCCTGGCAAGTAGATACAGTTAAATGGGCCCAACTGGATACCCTGGGGAAATGTCAACTCTTGAGGCTTTCCTCCTCTGAAGTCATTAGGTAATCCTTAAGGCATAACTGGTATAAGAAACAATTCATTGCAACAGGGTAGATATGAACTGGTTACAAAATCCTAAAGGGAAAAATAAGCATGGTCTAGGAAATACTGGAATGAACTATCTGAAAAGGATGGAAACAGTTCTGTTCAAACAGTATTGAATGCCTACAGGACCTAGGAGATTCAGAAGTAATCTACCCCTACCTTCATCCTGGTCTTTAAGGTTTATTGCAATAACTTCCAACCGCTTATCTAGCTATCCTGTCTTTGATCTGCCTCTTCCATTACCAAGACTTTATTTTACATGCAAGTACACAGATTGATCAAAATCTCCTCAAATCAAGGAAAAGAGCTGTGTTCATTTCAGCTCCACAGTAACTGTTTTCTAGTGATGTAGGAAACACTCAAGCACAAACATTCTGTATTTTAAAAGAATCTACCTGCTTGACACTGAAAAGAAAAATGAAGAGACATCTCAAGCCATCAATGTCTT